GAAGAATAATAACATTACATTTGATATCAAGACAACAATACTGAAGCATGTAGTTTCCATTCTATAAACACGAGCACGGAGTTAATTATGTGATTTAAATCATCTATATGATTTAGATTATCTCTCAATACAATAGTTTGAATGAGTTTTAGATATGCTGCTCCTTACAAGTACTTTGAAATATTGATAATATAGTTAAGATGTAAACATGACAAAGTTGATTCTTAAATACTGAACTTTCAGTGATTGTTTGAATTGTACGTTTTAAAAAATATTCTCCAAAGAACCGAAACTAGAAATGGCGCATATGACACTTATGCTACCACTTACAACTGCCAGTCACATTGGCATATGTGCTACTGTAAACCTGACCTTTGATCTAATGACTTCATTAACAATAGGGGCCCAACTACTGGCAATGGACCATGCCTTTACATAAGTTTAACAAATTTTAACTAATTCCTTCTCAATTCAGTATCAGCTTAGAAATTAACAATGTCACAATGACCTTTGACATTTTTTTAAGTTGGAGCCAAAAAAGTAATTAAAGGAGATAATAAGCACGTTTCAAAGTAGTCAAAGACTTCTACAATTCTCTTCTTGACCTCTATAAACACTTATATCAACTAAATCCCTTCAATACTTGTAAAAAGCATTTACAAGAACAGTCACTGAAGATGACAATTACCCCTGCAACTGTGCATTTACTAAACAGAAGCAAATCTGAAGTTACTATAGCATAAGCTTAAAGTTATAAGATCAATACCAGATTTTCTACTTGTTCAATCAAACTGTCGTGATTGCTCTCAAGAAGTTGTCCATTTACAGAATCTTTATAATCTTTTAAAGTTGACTTGTGCCTCATCTCATTATTAATGTTTGCTGGTCTATTAATGCCCTTTAACCTTGAGAACTGAATACTGCTCAAATTGATGCTAGAGAGGATATGTGATTTAAGACTTTTTAACAACCTTCCATAAACAAATTAAACTAGAGCTATCACTGAATGCGATTCATAACCCCGCCAATATGCTCAAGTGAAATTTGCATGGACTGTTAGGAAAGGTATTTGGACTTTAAACAAACATTAATCTGCATTTACATAAGTGCATTTCTCTAAACATGTTTGAAGTAATTACAATGTGGTCATTTAATTAGTTTTAAGTTTGACATAATCATAAAGGATGTTGTGTCAAGATAAGAAGATAATTCATTCATTCATGTTCGAAATTCTTTTGGGCATATAATAAACAATACAGCTATAGCCACTTTTGTACATTCTTGAGATATTTTTTTTAAGATAAGGGGTATCATAATGTAAAACTAACTATCAGTTATGAAACCTGACAAAGACAGTGACATTGTGATATATCTTTCATGTCAAGTTAATACTTCTACTGGTCAAACTAAGTGTAAGTCTTCTACTGGTCATACTACGTACAAGTGTTCTCAAACTTAAAAAAAACACTGTTGTTTTTAAAGTGATACTGAATTCTGTCAAACTATCAGAGTTCTGAATCTTGACATAGATACTCAAGTGTTGATGTTTTAAATCAATAAGACAGCGGTACAGGATGAGACATAGTGATTTCTATATAGTCCCCATCCCAAACTATGTTTGGTTAGGGTATAAAAACAAAAATTCTAAACAAACTGATGCCATTCTATGACAAAGAAATAAGGCAACAATTAAACTTTAATGCCTTCTAAACAAAAATTATCTAGAACTTTAACTAAAGGTGATTCAATAATTCAATGGCAAAAAGTCATCCAAAATACATGGAAATTGGATATGAAAGTAAACTATATATAGCTTTTTTCAAAACTTTTTTTAACTAATTCACTTTAAATGAAAATGAAAATTAAAATTTAACAAGGTGTACAAAAAACTCCAGGAGCATATAACAATTTAATATTTTCTTGATTGTCTTACGTTACTAATAATTTTCATATTCCAACAAAGAGGAGGGCCCTTCAAATAAGTCCTAACAAAGCCTCAATACAGATTTTTTTGAAAAAAATATAGTGAACCCTTGGCCGGGGCTGTTTTTGACCCAGGGCCTTATCTCAAAAGACAGGGAGGCATGCACAATTTCACAAAATATCTAAGCACAAAGCAATGACATTCCCAACAAGAATTTTTTTAAAGATTTTATATTTACACAAACATGACACCCAGGTTAGGACCAATTTTGACAAAGGTATTTGGTAAAGGTTATCTTCACAATACTAAGCAACAAATAGCTTAAATCTGGGCTTTCTGGCTTTAAATACTTCTGAAGTTTTTCCAACATAATTTTATGTAAATGAAGTGACGCCTGTGGTGTGGCCAATTCTGACCCTCCATATAAAATTTTAACAAACTTTGTAGACATCCATTAGACAATACATGTACTTCACACCAAATATCTAACTCTAAGCATTGTTGACTTAAGCAAAAATATCTTTTAAGTCTTCATATACAATTATATGTGAAAGTTATAACAAGAGGGCCATGATGGTCTTCATACCGCTCACCTGAATATAAAACTCTCAATGACAAGGAACAAGTTACATTGTAAATTATCAACAAAAGCAGAAATAAAATCTAAATCTTAAACCGATATAACAAAGTTCATATTTGAATCTGATGGTGCACTTGTAAAATTTACTGGGTAAAACAACAGTTCCATAAGATGTCACTGTTTACAAATATCTAAGCTAAGCCTGTATAGTATAATAGAATATTTTTCTTCATTTTTCCTATATACATATAAGGAAAATCAATACCCTAAAACACAAATGTCATTTTTTTTAAAGTCCCAGCATGAAATTCTGTATAAATTCTATATATTTTTGGTTCAAAGCATAAATATATCTATGAATGTTGAACAACATTTAGACACTGACAGAAGCACTGAGTAGTCCTAAAACAAGTCATGTCACTTAAACAAACCCTGTAAGTTACAATAACAGTTATTGTGGATATTGTATGATTAAAACAAGTCTAAGCCATATATTTAACATGTTCTTTAACGTTTCCAGAGTTCACTGTGACAACTATTTTGAATTCTTAATGCTCTAACCTGACCCAAGTGGGTAAAGTTAGAAAACCACAATTTTATTCTTTATAAGGAGAAAAGTTTTGTTCCTCTGACTGCCTAGTGTATCTGATAATCAATTTTAGGGCATTTACAGAATAATGAATGAAAAATTTTAAAAAATGGATCAAAGACAGAAAAGGCCAGATTGCATTTGTACACCAATTATCATGAGGCTGTAAGGTTATGAAAATTTTACCATTGACCCATTAATGTTGAAAATTTAATTAAGTGGGTAAACAGGAAGTGGATGAGCTACACACCTTAAATCGAATCCCACGGTATGGGACCATGTGTCAATGCTGTATGCCAAATATCAAGAGGCTGTGATATGTAGTTGCTGAGAAAACTATTACGAAAATTTCCTAACATTGACCCATTAATGTCGAAAATTTTAACTAATTAAACTAAGTGGATAAACAGGAAGTGGATAAGCGACAGACCTGAAATCAAATCCCACGGTATGGGATCATGTATCTATGCTGTATGCCAAATATCAAGAGGCTGTGATAAGTAGTTGCTGAGAAAACTGTTACGAAAATTTCCTACCATTGACCATTAATGTCGAAATATTTAACTAATTTAACTAAGTGGATAAACAGGAAGTGGATGAGCGACAGACCTAAAATCTAATCCCACAGTATGGGGCCATGTGTCAACGCTGTATGCCAAATATCAAGACACTGTGAAAAGTAGTTGCTGAGAAAACTGTTACGAAAATTTCCTACCATTGAACCATTAATGCTGAAAATTTAACTAATTTAACTAAGTGGATAAACAGGAAGTGGATGAGCGACAGACCTGAAATCAAAACCCACGGTATGGGGCCATGTGTCTATGCTGTATGCCAAATATCAAGAGGCTGTGATAAGTAGTTGCTCAGGAAACCGTTACGAAAATATTTTCCCCGCCCGCCAGCCTGCCGCCTGACACTCACCATACTATAACCTGGATTTGCACCAGTGCAACCCAGCTAATGAAGAAATGAAAATTTTGCCCCTGTCTTCCTTTAACCAAACTTGGTAGAGACCTACTAGACGATGTTTCATGCTAAATATCTAAGCTTTAGCTCTTTGATTTTATTAGAAGCAGGATAAATTATGACCCCAGGGCTTACAAACTTGTTAGTCACACACTATAAGATGCTTCATGCCAAATATCTTAGCTTAAGCTTTTTGGCTTTCTAGATTTTTTATTTGTTTTTCCTATATACATATAATAAAAATGGGTCAAAGACAGAAAAGGCCGGGTTGCATTTGTACACCAAATATCATGAGGCTGTGATGTTACGAAAAAAAATTTCCATTGACCCATTTATGTCGAAAATTTAATTCAGTAGGTTAACAGGAAGTGGATTTAAGCTACACACCTAAAATAGAATCCCACAGTATGGGACCATGTGTCAATGCTGTATGCCAAATATCAAGAGGCTGTGATAAGTAGTTGCTGAGAAAACTGTTACAAAAGTTTTTTTCCCCGCCCGCCCGGACGCCCGCCCGCCGCCCAACATTCAACATACTATAACCCGGGTTTGCACCAGTGCAACCCGGCCAAAAATCAATGACCCCTCGGGCAGGGCCAATTTTGACTCCAGGGATTTTATTTGAATAACCTAAGAAAAGACACTCACTAAAAGATGTTTCATGCTTAATATCTAGCTCTTTGGCTTTTTTTCTAGAAGATTTTTGTTTCTATTCCTATATACATACAAGGAAAATCAATTACCCCCTCCTGAGGCTGGGCCAATTTTGACCCAAGTGCTTTTATTTGAACAAACTAGGTAAACAACCACTAGAAGATGTTTCATATTAAATATCTATGCTCTAGATTTTGAGTTTATTTAAAAGATTTTGTTTTTTACTACATACATTTGAGGAAAATCAATGACCATCAGGCTTTTATTCGAACACAATTGGTAGCAATCCATTTGAAGATATTTCCAAATATCTAAGCTCTAGCTCTTACGTTTTTTACAATAATTTTTAAGGATCTTTGGTAAAATAATCTTTCAGTTGCCATGGCAACTAGAGTTCTTTATGGAATTTAATTCTTTTAACAACTTTGGAAGACCTTCATGCAAGAAACATCTTTGCAAAATTTCAACAAATTTGGCCAAGTGGTTTAAGAGGAGGAAAAGTTGTTTAAAGAAATTTTTGACGGATGCACGCACACATGGACGATGAACGACGGACAATCAGCCATCACAAAAGCTCACCCTGAGGACAAAGTCCTCAGGTGAGGTTATAAAATAAGAAATAGATTGTTCATTGTTCTTCAACTCTTAAATGAATGGCACAGATTCTGTCAAGTCTTTCTCTAAAGAAAACTAGGCATGAAGGCGTCCAACACCAGTGATACTGGTTCTACACACTGCACAGGACATTTGAGTTGATTCAAGATGAGTGGCACAAACCATACAGTACAGATGACCACAAGGTATGAGGAATGCTGACCGATCTCTTTCATAGCATACACAACACTTCAATGTTTCTGGATTAAATGTAACCTGAAAAGTATATAGATGAAGTGTATTTTCATATAAGTAGACCTACCTAAATACAAACTGCTACACATATTTAAAACAAGAACAGCAGTCTTATAACTTTTCAGATTATGAAAATTGTTAATGACAGCCCATGTAAAAAACTTAGTCCAAGCTCAAGAATAAAGTGAAAACAAGTGATTGTTAATTATCAAACCTTCGAGGTCAAGGTCAATCAGAATTGAAGATCATAATACATATTTGTCAGTGGTCTATTGTTATCATATGTTGTGTCCAAGAATAAAGTAAATCTGTTAATTTATGAGGAATAGTTTGGGCCAACATTAGATTTTTTGACAATGGGATCTTCATGGTCAAGGTTATTCAGGGTCATAGTCCTATTAGTAAAATTATCTGGAAAGCTCTTGCCTAAAAAGATGTCATGTTCCAGTACGAAATAGTGGTTAGTTCTGAGACTGACAGATTTGACATACTACTTTTAGGCATCATGCTGACCTTGACCTAGAGGCCATATTGCCAATGTGACAGCTCTGTCAAGCAATCCACAAGTAGACTCATACAAAAGATCAAGATCTTAATCCTGTTTAATTTAAATCAATAAATATTGTGCTTAGTGAGAACAGAATTGCCCCCAACTTGTAGATGTTTTCACAAAAGATATTATTACAGAAATATTCTACTAAATTTCAGGAATCTGCTTAGTTTGAAAAGTAGAACTGTCCATAAATGTTTATCTAACAAAAAATTTTTAATCTGACTTCAAGGTTCATTTCATTTGATTTATAGTGTTTCATTTGAAAAATATACATTACTTAAACCCAACTGTTACAGATTTCAGTAATGATGTTAGTCAGACCCAGGTGATAATTTTAATGCTTCAAAATTCTGACAATTACTTAAATAGTCCTGTAAAAGGCAGGGTGATTTATACACAATGGTGAGTTTGTGACCTGATAATAAGCCAATCAATACAAATGGTGAAACGTCACAAGGTAAAAACATGCCAATATAGGTGTTGTCAAGATGATTGAGTTATCTCCCCAACATCGCCTTTCTTAAAGATTTAAATCAATTACAAACTGAAAATTTTTGGAATGTTTACTTGAACAAGGGGGCCAAGGTGGCCCTAGATTGCTTACCTGACCCATCAAACTCATCCAAGCAATTACTAAGACAAGCTTCCTGACAATGTTTGATGACAATTGAGACAAAAATGTGACCTCTTGAGTGTTAACAAGGTCTTTCAATATTTGGGCAGTTTTGACCTAGTTTTTTTACCCCAGGTGACCAATATTTGAACTTGACCTAGAAGTCATCAAAACAAACTTGCAGACCAATTTCGGGGATATATGGACAAGATTTTTCTATTTTATGCTCCTGCAACCTAGTTTTTGACCGGAGATGACCCACAATCATCAAAACAACCTTCCTGACCAATTTCCAAGAAATTTTGATCAAACTGCAGCCACTAGAGGGTTAACAAGATTTTTCTATTTTTAGCTCCTGTGACCTTATATCTCTTATAATTTAAAAGTAATGTCCCAGATATTAAAATGAACAAAGGGCAATTACTCCAAAAGTAGGCAAGACAGTGTTACAGTTCTTTTCCACTGCAAACCTACTAATTGAGATTTATCTTCCTACAAAGTTTCATGTGGATACCTCTTATAGTTTTAGAGTTATGTCCTTGACAAAGTTCAAAGTGTGAAAATAAACAAAGGGGAATAATTAAAAAATAAGGCAAGGCAGAGTTATAGTTCTTGTGGACTGCACACCTTCTCAATGAGATCTATCTACCTACAAAGTTTCTTAGCTTAGTACATATTGTATTGCGTACTGACTTACAAAACAATCTTTTAGCTGTTGAGATGATTGCTAGACATTAGGATTTTAATATTTTGGCACAGTATGAAAAACTGAACAATTTAATCAAATGTCAGTAAATAAACTTAATTAAAAAGCCTTTAAGAACAAGAATGTCAAAGGACACATATGCCCCCCCCCCTTTTTAGCCCTTGACTAAAAATAGAAACTTGTCATAAATTGATTCATGGAAGTGTTCAATTATGGAAAAAAGAAAAATAATGAAGACTTTGTGATAAATAGTTTTCAAGATAATGAGATATTTAAGGCCCCTGTGACCTAGAACTTTTAACTAGTGACCCAAAATCAATAGGAGTCATCTAATAGGTATAACCAATTAATATTAAAAATATGGTGACTTTGTTATAAATAGTTTTCAAGATAATAAGCGGAAACCAAACTAACATTCAAGAACCCTGTGAACTTTACCTTTGAACTACTCACCCCAAAATCAATAGGTTCACTTACTTGTAATAAAAAATCTACAAGATAATATGCGGAATTCATTCTTACACTTAAGGCCCCTGTGACCTTGACCTTTGATCTAGTGACCCCAAAAGCGATATGGATCATCTATGGGTTCTTTCCAATCTCTTTGTGAAATATGAAAACTTTGTGATTATTTTCTTTCAAGATAATGAGCTGAAACCATTCCACCATTCAAAGACCCTGTAACCTTTGACCTAGTGACCCTAAAATCAATAGGGGTTATCTACTAGTTATGATCCATCATTATGTGAAATATTAGACTATGTGATGAATTGTAACCAAGATAATAAGCGGAAATCATATTACTATTCAAGGCCCCTGTGACCTTCACCTTTGACCTAGTAACCCAAAAATCAATCGGGGTCATCTACTAGTTTTGACCAATAAATATGTGAAATATAAAGACTTTGAGATGAATTGTAACCAAGATAATGAGCAGATACCATTCTGACATTTGAGGCCCTTGTGACCTTGACCTTGTGACCCCAAAATCAATAGGGGTCATCTACTAGTTATGATTAATCAATACATGAAATATGACAACTTTGTGATGAATACTAGATATAATCAGATAATCAGCGGAAACATTTTGACATTTCAGACCCCTGTGACCTTGACCCTTGATATCGTGACCCCAAAATCAATAGGGGTCAGCTACTAGTTATGGCCAATCACTATATGAAATATAAAGACTTTGTGATAAATCGTTTTCAAAATAATCAGCAGAAACCATGTGGTCCAATGACAGACAGACCGACATTAGCAAAACAATATACCCCCTCTCCTTCGAAGGGGGGCATAATTATGTTCAAAATAGAAAGCTTATACAAATTACAATCACTTTCAACCAAACAGTAATAGGTAATGAAGATAAAGATGGCCAAAGACAAGGTTCGAACTCAGGCCTGCATGACTACAAGACTGATGCAGTAACCACTCAACTATACCGATCTTGTATTCCTAGTCACAGAAACAGAACTTTGGTTACTAATCCAAAGTTTGCTGGTTTGTAAAGGTTTTATGCTGACTTTAACATCTTTTGGACATTTAATCAGTAATTACCAATTTCTCTGCAAGACTATTTTTCCCAGATTATCTTTTCTATATGAGCTGTGAGAGACTAATGACCATCAAACACTTTTTCCGAGATCATTTATTTCAGACCAATTTGTACTCAGACCAGTGATCGAACCAATGATTGCTTAATTAGTGCTTACTTGAATTAAAGTGCAGAGCATCGTATCTAATTTTTTTTTACTTAATATTTGTAGACATTAAAAAAAAAACAAGATATTTGGCAATTATGTACAGGACTTTATAATGAACTATGGCAGAACGTTATTACATAACTTTAATCATAATGTTAAACTCTTACGGTAGGTGTTCCGGTAGCTACATGACCAGGTGGTGTTTGCATTGCAGACATCAACTGTAGAAAATATAAACATATGAACTTTGGCATTCAATTTAACTATGATTCTCAAAAAAGCTGTTATTATAAAATTATTATACTCCCAAACAAAGCTTTTAATTCAAATTTAATTGAATATGCATTGGTAAAGGAAATTAGAAACACAAACCAATAACTAAAGAAAAACTTTTGCTTTTAATTTCTTCCATGAACTGTACTTGAATACAATTAATTCAGGTAAAGCTTTGATATTTGACTATAACCAAAAGTTCAAAGATGAAGAAGGGGCATAACTCTGTCAAAAAAAAAATAATTTGAAGGTGATCTGTTGGTATGAGTTCCCTTTTAATAATGAACAAGTATTCCCAGTTTCAAGAGAATATCTCTGATAATTGGATAAATGAAAGATTAAACACTGGGACTTGAGGTAGACACATGCAAGACATGTCTTTTACTTTATTAAAGTGAACAAGTGTACCAAGTTATTTTGAAATACCACTTTGCAGAACACAGAAACCGATAAGTCTGCAGTGAAGTACATAATAAACTTAGTTCAATGACTCACTTATAATGACCTTGACATCTGACATAGGGATCTGTGGCTTATATATTATATGTTCTCTACTTATCTTTACTAAATAAATTAGAAATCCAACAACTGGATATTTATTATCAAAACATGAAACAGGCATGAACTATTTCAATTTTTAAACTAACACACAAATCCACACTTACATAAAGGGGAAACACTTGAAAGAATCATGACAGAGGCATAACAACATATCTATTTCTATAAAACAACAGTAAGTTCTTACAGCAACATTCAAGCTCTGATGTGTAACAGGCTGTGAGGTATTGGACTGAAAGACAGCAGGTTGTTGTGGGGTAACACTCTGTGTTGCAAGATTATGCTGGGGACCACTATGTTCAGTCACTGGCTGTGTCTGCAAAAAATACACATACTAGAGCTATCACTAAAAATATTTACACCACCATCCACCACCTGGATAGTAAATAAGAATACTAATCTAAAGAGATATTTGAACCCAGTCTGTATTTTATGATTTTACATCTGTGTAACAATAACTTTAACTATTGTGACTGTCTCATGTGAAAAACATCTTCCTGGAAAATTGTCAATAAAAGGGGTCATAACCCTGTCAAATATAAGTAAGTCAAAAGCTCTTCATTTGACTGTTACAGTGACATAATTATTTACCACTGATCAACCCTTTGAACTTATGAATCAATAAGGGTCATTTATTGGCAACAGGATATGGCCCTCCTAAGTTTCATAAACATTAGCTTATTCTTCTCAGTCAGTTTAAATATAAGAACAAGAACCTGTTTGTTAAACACAAATGCCAACAGCTCAAATTCGTGTCAGTAACAATATTTAAAATAAAGGCTGTATGGGCAAAAGTGTAAAAAATCTATTTTTAGCACTGGTAACCTTGACCCAACTGACCCCTAACTCCATCCAAAGGAAGAATATCATGCAACTTATTTTCCTACAAAATATGAAATAAATCAGTCAATAAATAAAGGCTGTATGAGCAAAAGTGTAAAAATCTATTTTTAGCACTGGTGACCTTGACCCAACTGACCCTACTTCCATGCAAATGAGAATACCTCAATTCTATGTTCCTACAAAATATATAAGACATGTGTCAATAGAATAAGGTTAGTGTAAAAAATCTATTTTTGACATTGGTGACCTTGACCCAAATAACCCCTTACTAAAGGAAAAGGACCTCCCTTGGTATGACTATTTCAAACATGAAAGAAATTAACTTAAAAATAAAGGCTGTATGAGCAGAAATTATTAGATTTACTTTTTTAAACAAGTGACCTTGACCTAGAGACGCCTAATGCCACAAAAAATTAGAGGACCGTTAAAGGTATCCACCTACCAAATATGAAAGATACCATTAAATAAATTAAGTAATTAGGTGAAATTTTTTGATAAATCCAACTTGGCGGAAAAGGTTAACCATACACGGCCCTATTTTCAAAATGGATGGCGCATTTATATAACTTGGCGATATCATGTACATTGTATTGATAAGTAAGTGTGAAAATTATTAAGCCATTAGTTCAGATAGAACATAAGATATTTCCAACTTGCTGGTTTAGGTTAACCATTATTCATTTTTAAGTGCTGAAAAGGGCCATAACTTGGTGCAAATGGAAGCCATAGTTATGTTTCTTGCCCAGATCATATACTTTGTATGGATTAGTAAGTGCGTAAATTATGAAGCCATTGGTACAGGTAGAGTTTAAGAAAAATCTAACTTGCTGTTCTAGGTTAACCCTGTACAGACAGACGGACGGACGTTTCAGTTACTATATGCCAGGGGGCATAAAAAGTATAACTGTTTTTCTGATCATAACCTAATCCTTCACTAGTTTCAAAAACTTGAATTGAGTGCAGTGTCTCTACAATTATGTTTGAGCAATCAATAAGAAGGTTAGAAAGGAAAATTAATATTTCTTTCAGTCTAACCAAATTTTGCACACTCACCCTTGCAGTCCTGAATTGTATATCTGGCAGCTCAAAGTCCGAGTCAGAATCTGTTTCCAAATGTATTACCTGAAATCACAGGTGTTAACTACAGAACATAAAATGTAATACAGTGCTTAGAATCATGATATGAACATCAACTCTTACTTGAAATTTCTTCTAACAATAAATTATTATTAATTCTGACTTGCATGACAACTACTGAAAACTCTAGGTGCTCTACTTAGTAAACTGAAGGTTTACTATAAAACACAGTTTTGATTGAAAAATGTTGTAATACACTGAAACAAGAGGGCCATGATGGCCCTAAAGTCGCTCACCTGTATATAGGCCCCCAGAGCGGGGCCAGTTTAAACCCCAGGGCTTTTATTTGAACAAACTTGGTTGACACCCAATAGAAGATATTTCATGCTAAACATCTAAGGTCTAGCTTGTTGGGTTTTTTAAAAGAAGATTTTTTCAAGTTTTTTTCTTTACACATATAGTTAAAAACAATGACACACCTGGGGCAGGGCCAGTTTTGACCCCAGGGCTTTTTTTGAACAATCTTTGTAGACACTTACTAGACAATGTTTCATGCTTATTCAGGTTTTTTCAAAAAAGATTTTTAAGTTTTTGCTATACACATATAAGGAAAATCAATGTCCCCTGGGACGGGGCCAATTTTGACCCCAGGGCTTTTATTTGAACAAACTTTGTAGACACTCACTAGAAGATGCTTCGTGCTTAATATCTCCCCAAGTTTTTCAAAGAAGATTTTGTAAGTTTTTGTTATACACATATAAGGAAAATGAATGACCCCCAGGGCGGGGCCAATTTACACTAGAAGATGTTTCATGCCAAATATCTAAGCTCTAGCTCTTTGGGTTTTTTAGAAGAAGATATTTAAAGTTTTTTCTTTTGGTTGCCATGGCAACCAGAGTTCTGCATGGAATGGAATTCTTTGAACAACTTTGTTAAGGCTTCACACAAGGAACATCCCTGCGAAGTTTCATTATGATCTGCCTAATGGTTTCAGAGGAGATGTCGTTTTAAAAGTGTGAACGGACAACGGACTACATACGAAAAAAGTGATCCTAATAGCTCACCCTGAGCATATGCTCAGGTGAGCTAATGACAAAATACTTAACAAGAGCATGTGCTTTCCTCTTACATATATCAATAAAATCAAACCTTTTCTTTTGTCAGCAAATATAACCGATTCTCTTTACTCGAACTTTCAATATCCTCTAAACTGAAATTTTCTTTCTTTATGGCGTTTCCTCGCCCATCTCCTACTGCTTGATGGAATTTGCTGATTCTTCCTAAAGCACTTTTCCCATCTGGGAAAAATATATTAAGCAATTTTTCAAGTACTAGGTCATATGTGGCGGATCTTAAGATTTCCTCCTTCTTGCTTCCTCCTCCTTTTTGGCTCCTTACAGCCACATATCTTTTTTCATGGGGATTGAAATGCATCCATCCAAAACAAACTTTCATCGTAAGGCGTCCTTTTTTCTAAAATATAATAATTACCTTTTTTTTCTAAAATATAATAATTACCAGTTACTTTTACAAGACTGAAATTTAACATTTATATTGAACCTTAATAAATTATTTTTGAGATCATAATTTGAATTAGCTTGGTAAAGGTCCTACAGATAATGCTACATACCAAATATCTAAGCTCTGAGATTTGAGCCATGAATTTCAAGCTAGCTTTAAAAAGGTTGGTAGTTCTACCCATTTCTGCTTGTGACTGAAATAAAGCTTGCAGTGGCAGAAAATTACAGAATTATTGGAAATTGCCTCATGATCATATCTGTTAAATGTGACATCAAATCCAGTTCAATAGATAACAATAACAAACCTGTCTGGTTTCATTATTTAATCCTCTTTTCCTTTTCATTTGTTCCATAAGGAAGTTAAATCTTGACTGCTCACCTGAGCCTAGAATGAAAAATTAACAAGTTATAATTGTAAGCTGCATACTATGCTATGCTGTTGAAATAATGAATAAAACTGCAAGTTTTTTATTAGAATGCATGAATGTTTGATAGCACACATGTACAAAATCATCTAAAATTGCATTTTCTAAGTTGACATATATATGTTTGTAATTTCTTGTCAGGACAGCATTCTGCATGGTAGCTCAAAGAAAGAGTTATAACGTCTTTTTTTATTTTCCAGTACATTTCTCCTGTACATGTAAGGTTAATCCAATATTGAAATAAACAATTTTTTTGTGGAAATGAACCCAACATCACAGAGTGGTAGTGTATAATACCTTCATAAAGAAATGTTGACAAGGAAGTGAAGAATTGTTTCCAGATAGCTGAATAGCGTTACTGAATGATGCATCATAAAGTATAGCTTAATACATTGTATCTAGGTCAATTCTTTTGAGACAATGGCCCAAGATGGACAGATAGACATGCAGGGCAAATCAATATGTCCCTAAGAGGAAGAGAAGACCAAATTACCCGATGGCAGCAGTAACTGTTCGTTTCCTATAAGGAAATACAATGATGGTGATATCTGCCCGGAATGTTCTCCACACAGGCCGTTAAGACCATCATTGTCATCAATTTCACAATTGTCTTCAAGGACCATGGTAACTCTGTCATCCCTTATTTCAAATTTCTCTCGTACTGAAAATAGAAACTATTAAATTCATATCCCCATCATATATGTTAAAAAATGCAAGAAAGCAAGTATATATGGATAATAAAAATCAGCCACAAATGAAAAAAAAAACATAAAATAGCTAAAATGACTGTTTTCATCATCAAGGGCAATAACACAAGTCTTAATAGGTGTAGGAGAATCAGTCTTGAAATCCAAGTTCTAAATGATCCTTTCATATACAAGACCAGTAACAGAACCACGTCCTGATTATCTCATGTGTTATCAGGAAAAGACTGTCCTTTAGTAAACAAGCAGATATAGAAATATAGGTACTACTTAAAATGACCTTAAAAAGTAAACTTAAAAAGCATACTTTTTCCTGAAACTTCATAACAATGAATTTCTAAGTTGAACAATGGGCATAATTTGGTAAAATTATGTGCAAGAGTTATGGCAGTAATTCAGTGGTCTAAGACACTGGCACTAAATATATGAATAACAAGATATGTTTGTAAAACATGTATGCCCCCTATCAGCAGCCAATTAGTCATGTGATAAGGTTATTATGCATGACTTCTGACCCAGTGATCAAAGAATTAATAAGGGTTATCAAGTATCTACTGGTCATGACCTTAACCTTTGACCCCTTGACCCCAAACTCAATAGGGGTCATCTGCTGGTCATGACCAATCATCATACAAAGTTTGACGTTCCTAGGCCTAAGCGTTTTTAGTTAATTGATCAGAAACCGTTTTTACCTACAAGGTCAATGTGACCTTGACCTTTGACCATTTGACCCCAAAATCAATAGGGGTCATCTGCTGGTCATGACCAATCACCATACCAAGTTTGAAGTTCCTAGGCCTAAGGCTTCTTTGGTTATTGATCGGAAACCGTTTTAATATACAAGGTCAATGTGACCTTGACCTTTGACCCCAAAATCAATAGGGGTCATCTGCTGGTCATGACCAATCACCATGCCAAGTTTGAAGTTCCTAGGCCGAAGCGTTCTTTAGTTATTGATCAAAAACCGGTTTTACTTACAATGTCAATGTGACCTTGACCTTTGACCCCTTGATCCCAAAATCAATAGGGGTAATCTGCTGGTCATGACAAATCACCATACTAAGTTTGAAGTTCCTAGGCCTAAGTGTTCTTAAGTTATTGATCAGAAACCGTTTTTACTTACAAGGTCAATGTGACCTTGACCTTTGCCCCTTGACCCAAAACTCAATAGGGGTCATCTGCTGGTCATGACCAATCATCATACAAAGTTTGAAGTTCCTAGGCCTAAGCATTTTTAGTTAATTGATCGGAAACCGTTTTTACCTACAAGGTCAATGTGACCTTGACCTTTGACCCCTTGACCCCAAAATCAATAGGTCATCTGCTGGTCATGACCAATCACCATACCAAGTTTGAAGTTCCTAGGCCTTAAGGTTCTTTAGTTATTGATCGGAAACCGTTTTTGCTTACAAGGTCAATGTGACCTTGACCTTTGACCCCTTGACCCCAAAATCAATAGGGGTCATCTACTGGTCATGACCAATCACCATACCAAGTTTGAAGTTCCTAGGCCTAAGGGTTCTTTAGTTATCACTCGGAAACCATTTGGTCTACGGACCGACAAGTGCAAAGCAATATACCCCCTTTTCTTCGAAATGGGGGCATAACAATGTAATAGCACAAGCAATTTATAAGATAACATGTTTCATGATCACAAATTTTTAAGCTGAGAAAGAGGCATAACTTGGTCAATTTCAAAATAAGATAAACTAGAACTATCACTAAATGTGATTAATACCCCCGCAAGACTGCTTCACAAATGAGGAAGTTACAAGGAACAGAATATCTTATAAAAGAATTGAAATAGAGTCATGGTTATGGGCAATTAAAGATACTTGTGGTTCTTGTATGTTGTATTTCCTTTCACTGTGTGGTTGACCATTGATGAAGTTTTATTGAATTACTATGTAATAAGTCAAGATAAGAGTTACAGTCCTTGAGCACTGCACTTTCTCTCATTGCCCTTGACAATTGTATTTAAGTTGCATTTAATTCCAAACATTTGTTTTTATGTTATGAATCAGACAAGGAAAATCAGCAAAGGGCAATAACTCTGAAAAATACTGATGATAGAGTTATAGTTATTGTACACTGCACTTTCTCTCATTGTGCTTGGCCATTGTATGAAGTTGCACTGAATTCCAACCATTAGTTTTCAAGTAATGCACTGGACAAAAAAAATTAGCAAAGGGCAATGAAAATGTAATTAGTCCAAATAGAGTAATGGTTCTTGAGAACTGCACTTCATTTTACTGCTTTTGACCATTGTATGAAGTTGCATTGAATTCCAACCATCAATTTTCAAGTTATGAACTGGACAATAAATGTATCAAAGGGTATTAACTCTAAAATGGATCAAGAAAGAGTCATGGTTCCTGTGCACTGTGCTACCTCTCAATATACTTGACTTGTAGCAACTTGTATTGAATTCCAACCAGTACATTTCATGTTATGCTCTGTGACAAGGAAAAGTAACAAAGGGCAATCACTCTATATTTACTCTGGGTAGAGTTATGGTTCTTGTGCACTGCACTTCCTCTTATTGTGCTTGACCATTGTATGGGTTGCACTGAATTCCAACCATTAGTTTTCTTTTCAAGTTATGCACTGGACAAGAAAAAGTAATGAAGGGCAATAACTCTGTTATTAGTTAAGTTTTGTTGAAATCAATACAGCAGTTGCAAAGAAATAGCATTATTGCTCTATTTGCATACTGCATAACTAATCAAGGACCATAACTCTGAGTTAAAGTGTTTGACCGAAACAAGGGGAGGATATGCGCATATCCTCTTGATATTAAAGGTTCCCATAAAGTTTCAATGAATTCCAGCCAGTAGTTGCAGAAAAGTAGCGCCGAAAAGATTTTTGCTCTATATGCATACTGCGTAACTAATCAAGGGCCATAACTCTCGAGTTAAAGTGTCTGACCGGAACAAGCTGATGATATGCACATCTCATCTTGTTATTGAAGGTTCTCATAAAGTTTCACTGAATTCAAGCCAGTTGTTGCTGAGTTGTGTGGAACAATTTTTGCTCTATACGCATACAGCATAAGTAATCAAGGGTCTATAAAGCTAGAGTTAAAGGGTCTGACTGGAACAAGCCGACGATATGCTCATCTCCACTTGATGATTCCCATAAAGTTTCGTTGAACTCCATCCAGTAGTTGCAGAGAACTATTGCTGAAACGAAATTCGGATGAACGACAAAACAATACCCGCTTCCGATTCCATTGGCGGGGGATAACAAGGAAAGGCAGCTTGCAATGAAAGCAACCCCCAAAAGACCCAACAACAAGAACCAGCAGCAAGGAGCCCTGGAGGACCCCAAAAATAGGACAGGGCTTTTAAGTCAGAGTTATATCACTCAATTTCAGTGTCTATTCTATGATTTCAAAATTAGGGGTGATTTTCCCCCCTCTATTTCAAAAAAGGGGGCGATTTTCAAAATCAAGGGGGTGCCAATATAAACTGCATATGTTAAATCGTCTGTATAAGTTTAAACTGAGGCGTTCAACCGATGAAATAATTAAAACTAAGTTGTCCCCCCTTAATTTTTTTACGAAAACAAATCATTATAAAACTGTTGCGATTGATTATTAAGGGATTGACAATACGAACAATAGACCTATCTTTCACGTCTAAATCGTAGCCAAGCTAGGAATTGCCTCATTATTCTTGATTATTTACTACACTAAAATGGTGCCCAACTGTCAGACCTAGCACACTAGTTCCGGTTGGTACGGAACATTCCGTTAATTTCCGTCAACTCACGTAACCTGTACCATACGGTACTAAATTATTATAATTAGCTTACAGTTACTTTCCAGTGTAAATGTAAACAAAACAACTAAATATAATGCAGGATGGAAGTTTAACGATTTTATAAACTTTTTTTATAGATGCGCGATTTTCATGCACATGATTTTGAATTGTGCGCTATATGTGAAATACTAGCGTGAATTGCGCAATTGCTGAGACACTGAGTGTGTGTGAATTTTCAAAACTGTATAATTAACATTTTTTAAGAGAACCTATGATGAATTTTCGTAAGCAAGGAGTGGTTTTACTTGGGCAAACATTTGTGCTAAGGTGAGCTAAAATATACCTTTACTGACAAGATCTTCAAAGCTCCTTACTGTTAAGACCTTCCCTCTGGTCTTGTCGGAATTCCAAACTTTTACTGTCATTGTTTTGGGCTGTTATAACAGAAATCATAAAGATGTTATTTGAATGTTCTATCCTTTTCACTCTTATATAGTAATACATAATTTAGTTTTAATCTCACTTTGGTAATAGAGTAAAAAGTTCAATCTCAACAAGAGAACTAATAATGCCTCAGTTTGGATCAAGCTTTCCTGTTGTAGTCACCAGTTTAATGTAGCTCTATAACTGGTATCTTATACAAGTGTTCACTGAGAACAAAGTATAGTTGCACAAATTTCCTATCCAACAAGAATTTGTAACAGAGTTACCAACGTCCCCCGCCTAGGGAAGTTTTATATGAAGCATAAAATTGTGCTATTTCAAAAGATTGAGGTATGGATCTCAGGACATTCAGTCCAAAATTATGATCAATGCTAGATCTGCAAATGCAACGATAAATTTGTTAAAAAAATAAAATGAAACACGGAATTTTAAAATCTATCATGTTAATCTTTGACCTCTAAGTGTGACCTTGACCTTGGAGGTAGGGGAGCAGGTGTTGTGCATGACATAACGTCTTATTATTGAGACTATCTGTGCCAAGTATTTTCAAATCCCTTGAACTATGAAGAAGTTATAGATTGGACACAAAATATACCCTATAACAGCCTATGTAAATCTTTGACCTCTAAGTGTGACCGTGACTTTGGAGGTAGGGACACAGATGTTACGCATGACATATCATTTAATCATTGTGACTATTTGTGCCAAGTATTTTCAAAATCCTTTATTCTATGAAAAAGTAATGGACGGGACACAAAATATACCAAATAACAGACTCTGTTAACCTTTGACCTCTAAGTGTGACCTTGACCTTGGAGGTAAGGGTGCAAGTGTTGTACTTGACAGTTCGTCTTATTATTGTGACTATTTGTGCCAAGTTTTTTCAAAATCCCTTGAACTATAAAGAAGTTCTAGATCTGACACAAAATATACCCTATAACAGACTATGTTAGTTTTTGACCTCTAAGTGTGACCTTGACCTTGGAGGTAGGGATGCAGGTGTTGCGCATGACACATCCTTTTATTATAGTGACTATTTGTGCGAAGTATTTTCAAAATCCTTTGATCTATGAAAAAGTTATGGACCGCACACAAAATATACCCTATAACAGACTTTGTAAGTATTTGACCTCCAAGTGTGACCTTGACCTTGGAGGTAAGTGACCAGATTTTGCGCATGACACATCGTCTGATTATTGTGAACAATTATGGCAAGTATTTAAAAAATCCCTTCATAGATGAGAAAGTTTTGGACCGGACACGACATATACCCTCAAATAGACAATGTTGACCTTGAATGAGCAAAAGCGACCTTGACCCTGGAGGTAGGAGTCTGGTTGTTGCGCATGACACATCGTCTTATTATAACAAACATTTGTGCCAAGTTATTTCAAATTCCTGTGATAAAAGACAAAGTTATGGACCGGACACAAAATATACCCTATAACAGACTATGTAAGTATTTGACCTCCAAGTGTGACCTTGACCATGAAGGTAGGTGACTGGTTTTTGCACATGACACATCGTCTGATTATTTTGAACAATTATGGAAAGTATTTACAAAATCCCTTCATAGATAAGAAAGTTATGGACCGGACACGACATATACCCTCAAATAGACAATGTTGACCTTGAATGAGCAAGTGCGACCTTGACCCTGGAGGTAGGGGTCTGGTTGTTGCACATGACACATCATCTTATTATAACAAACATTTGTGCCAAGTTATTTCAAATTCCTTTGATAAATGACAAAGTTATGGACTGGACACGAAAATGTGACGGACGGACAGACGGAGCCTATTTCTATATCCCCCTTTTTTCTTCGAAAAGGCGGGGGACAATTAACTGTCAACATTCATCAACTTCAAGATACATTTCTGGTCAGATCATTTAGAATAATGAATATTTTCAAGGGCCGTCAGTGATCATGATAGCCATAGCTCGGCAAAAAATCATTCAAACCGAAAAATGTTGAAAAGATGCACAACTTATGACATGGTATTGATCATTCACCGAAAGTTTTGATGAAATTGCAACTTCTGTGTAGCTTGCAACACAAAAGAAGCACATTTTATTCAAGGGCAATAACTCAGCCAAAAATCAATCAAGCGGAAAACCTGTGTAATATGCTCAAGTACTTGACCTACCAATTAATCCTGTTTCATTGAAATTGCATCAGTGGTATAAGAGAAGTAGTCCGGACAAACTTTGAAAAATAAAACTAATTAAAGGGCCGTAACTCTGACAAAATTCATTGAAACATAAACAAGAGGGCCATGATGGCCCAAAGTCGCTCACCTGTATATAGGCCCCCGGAGCGAGCCAGTTTAAACCCAAGGGCTTTTATTTGAACAAACTTGGTTGACACCCATTAGAAGATATTTCATGCTAAACATCTAAGGTCTAGCTTATTGGGTTTTTTAAAAGAAGATTTTTTATGTATATATATTATATATATATATATATATATATATATATATATATATATATATATATATATATATATATATATATATATATATATATATATATATATACACATATACATATATATATATACACACTTATATATATATATATATATATATATATATATATATATATATATATATATATACACATATACATATATATATATAAGTGTGTGTGTGTGTGTATGTATGTATGTATATATATATATATATATATATATATGTATGTATGTATGTATGTATGTATGTATGTATGTATGTATGTATATTGTATATATATAATATATATATATATAAATTACATATGTATATATATATATATACATATATATATAAATATATGTGTATATATATATATATGTATGTATATATATAATATGCATATATTTAAAAAAAAAAAAGTCGAGCTAATGAATGACCCCCGGGACGGGGCCAATTTTGACCCCAGGGCTCTTATTTGAACGAACATGGTAGACATCCATTAGAACATGTTTCATGCTAAATATCTTAGCTCTAGCTCTTTGCATTCTTTAAAAGAAATTTTTTTAAGTTTTTACTATATGCATATAGGGAAAATCAATGACCCCCTGGGGCGGGGCCAATTTTGACCCCAGGGCTTTTATTTGAACAAACTTGATAGACACCCATTAGAAGATGTTTCATGCTAAATATCTAAGCTCTAGCTCTTTGGGTTCTTTAAAAGAAAATTTTTTAAGTTTTTACTATATACATATAGGGAAAATCAATGACCCCCAGGGCGGGGCAGATTTTAATTCTAGGAACAAAATTTGAACAACTTTGGTTTTGGACCTATAGATGATACCATAGACCAAATATCAAAGCTCTAGGCCATTTACTTTCAGACCAGAAGATTTTTCAAGTTTTCACTATATGTATATAATGAAAATCAATGACCCCCGAGGGCGGGGCCAATTTTGACCCGAGGGCCATTATTTGAACAATCTTGGTAGAGGTCTACCACACAATGTTTCATGCCAAATATCTTACCTGTAGCCTTTGCCAATTCAGAGAAGAAGATTTTTTTATGTTTTACTATATACATATTAGAAAAACCTATGACCCCCCGGGGCGGGGCCAATTTTGACACTAGGGACAAAATTTGAACAACTTTGGTAGAGGACCCATAGATGATACCATATACCAAAAATCAAAGCTCTAGGCCATTTACTTTCAGACCAGAAGATTTTTCAAGTTTTCACTATATGTATGTAATGAAAATCAATGACCCCCCAGGGCGGGGCCAATTTTGACCCTAGGGCCATTATTTGAACAATCTTGATAGAGGTCTACTACACAATGTTTCATGCCAAATATCTAATCTGTAGCCTTTGCCAAATCAGAGAAGAAGATTTTTTTAGATTTACCTATAGACATATAAGGAAAAACCTATGACCCCCCGGGGCGGGGCCAATTTTGACACTAGGGACAAAATTTGAACAACTTTGGTAGAGGACCCATAGATGATACCATATACCAAAAATCAAAGCTCTAGGCCATTTACTTTCAGACCAGAAGATTTTTCAAGTTTTCACTATATGTATGTAATGAAAATCAATGACCCCCCAGGGCGGGGCCAATTTTGACCCTAGGGCCATTATTTGAACAATCTTGATAGAGGTCTACTACACAATGTTTCATGCCAAATATCTAATCTGTAGCCTTTGCCAAATCAGAGAAGAAGATTTTTTTAGATTTACCTATAGACATATAAGGAAAAACCTATGACCCCCCGGGGCGGGGCCAATTTTGACACTAGGGACAAAATTTGAACAACTTTGGTAGAGGACCCATAGATGATACCATATACCAAAAATCAAAGCTCTGGCCCATGTACTTTCAGACAAGAAGATTTTTTAATTTTGTGTTTTTTGAAATCCTTTTCTGGCCCTGTGACCTACATATGCAACAGACCGGAACCATTTGAACAACTTTGAAAGGGGACCACCCAAGGATCATTTCTGTAAAGTTTGGTTGATGTGCAGTCATTGGTTTCAGAGGAGATGTTGTTTATGTGAAAAGTTGACGACGCACGACGCACGACGCACGACGCACGACGACGGACGACGGACACAGGGCGATCACAATAGCTCACCCTGAGCATTGCTCAGGTGAGCTAAAAAGCCCATGATATGCACAATTAGATTGGTAATGATCATTCCTGTAAAGTTATGATGAAATTGCACCAGTAGTTTTTGAGAAGTAGTCCTGACAAGCTTTTGTGTATCTGGCAACACACAGAAAACAAGAACCGGTTGAACCGGGTGATGCTTCCCGAGAAGGTTCTGGACACAGGAAAGTATATAAAAAAAATGGACAAAGGGCAAAAACTCCAAAATTAGGCAAAGCGGATGTATGTTTTTTTGCACTGCACTTCTATTCAATGAGATCTATCTATCTTTAAAGATTCCTGATGATATCAGAGTTATGTGCCGGGTAAAATTCAAAGTGTAAAAATGAACAAAGGGCAATAACTCCAAAATTAGACAGGGGTTTG